TCTGTCGTTTTGAAATTTCTGCTTTTGCTTCTTAAACTGTGCTTTAAATATTCTACAAAGTCAATAAGTGAACAATTAAAGCATAAAACATCTCAGACATTTTATTTTCAGTGTGTTAGATATTTAAAACATCTTATTGCCTCTTTTCTCCCTTCTGCTCTGTCTTCTTTCATCTGTGTTGCTCCTATATCAGTTTTTATTTGCAAACATTTCGGAGAACTTCAAGACGAGAATGAAAAGTAAATCAGTTGTTTACCCCCTTCTCTCTCGTCCCTATCTCATTTCCGCTTTTGTGTCTTTTCTTCCTCCTCTCCCTCTGTCCATTTTTCTCTCTCAGGTGTGATCTGTGTGGGGAGTCACTGTCTAGACAACTGATTATACCGAATAATGAGGGAGAGGGGGTGGCGGGCGACGAAAGGAGCTTTAAAAGGAGGCGAAGGAGGAGGAGGTGAAGGAAAGAGAGTGTCAGACAGGGAGAGAGAGGTGTAAGGGGAGGAAAGAGGGAGGAAAGGCAATCTGCGGGGGATTAAAGAGAAGAAAAAACATAAGAAAGACGAATAAGGAGGGAAGACGACATAAAAAACAAACCAGGAATCAGGATGAAAACAAAATAACAGAGAGAAACATACTGAAAAAGATTAAAAATAGAAAGACGGTGCAGAGAGATGAAAGGAAGCGAGTCAGTCACACAAACCGAGCGAACATCTCTGAGGCAGAGCAGAAACCCGGTCTGATCTGTTGTGTTAGGAAACCCTATCAGTCACACAGGCTTTACTCACTCCATGTGTTTGTGTGTCTTAGTTTGGTGATGAGTAATCAGTGAACCCAAAAACCTCCCCGACACACACACACAGTTATGCACACACACTGTAATAGGCTTATCCAGTGCTGCAGTTTCATCCTATAAACTGGGCCTTTTTTTTCTCCTTCTCTGTTTGGGATGAAAGAAAATTGTCTCTGTTAAGACGTTTGCCACTTCCACAGAAGCTTTCCTGTGGGTGTGCAAGAACATTTTAATTTTGTCTGTATTTAGAAACAGATTAAATGAGCTGGGCAGTCTGCAGCACACAGACGTCTGATGGCTGACACAGTTTATCTGCCATCAGACGGCAGGGGCAAGCCAGAGCAGAGCTGCTATCGACATTTTTCTTGGGAAGTCCATTAAGGCCACTGTTAGATAAACTTCCTCAGCCTCATGGAAAAGAAACAGCTCTCATCCTTCTGCGTGTTTGTCTCTCCTTTTAATGCAGCAGGGACAGTGGAAAGGGTCTAAAAACTTTAAACTAGGTTCAACTTTTGTCGCAGTGCAGCAGAAATGAACTGAGATGCAGAGTGTTTACCAGTTCAATAAAGTCTGACTGGCCTCCTGCGCCACCTATGTCTGAACACAGCGGAGGCTCAGGTTAATAGATGAGTCAAAAAACCAATTGTCCTATTTCAAACCAACAACCAGCGATGCTCTTTCTACAACTGTTCTTATGTATAACAAAGGGCTTTTGTCTCCATGACTCAGATAAGTCTTAGAACATTAAATAATCCCTATAATCCTAAAATTGATGTACTTTAGGTAGCCTAAAGGGGAATGCAGTGTCCTCAGATTGCCAGGGGAGTTAAAATTAAAGTTCTTCCACATATAAATCATGTAATTTTATTAGGGGTTCACCAATTGTAGTTTTCTGGACAGTCACACCTTTGCTGAGGTAAATACGATTGGTGGACATGCTTCACATGCAAGTATCGGCAATCACCAATCTTCTACAATTAAGGAAATAGAGGTCAATTTAATGGCTGGCCAATTTATCGACACACCCCTAAAATTATGTTTTCTTTTCTGATAATACCTACAAACGACAAATATGTAAGGGAATGAACATTGATGTGGATGATGGTGCACAGCACCAAATAAAAGCCAAACCAACCCATCAATCAATTTATCCCTCCATCCATTATCTTGTGCCTAATCTGAAGTCGGGTCGTGAAGGCAGAAGTCTAAGCAGACAGGTCCAGTCCGCCCCTCGTCCCTCATGTCCTAGGTCTTCCTCTGGGTCTTCTCCCAGTGGGACATGTACTGAATACCTCATCAGGGAGGGCATCATAAGAAGATGCCTGAGCCCCTCCCAGATGACCGAACTCTTTACCCTATCCCTAAGGGGGAGTGCAGAAACCCTGTGGAGAAAACTCATTTCAGCTGCTTGTCTCCATCATCTTGTTCTTTTGGTTACGACCCAGAGCTTGTGACCATAGATGAAAACATCAACACAGACTGACCTGTAAATCAAGAGCTTTGCCTTTCTGGTAAGCTCTTTCTTCACCAGTGATGAAAGTGCAGCACCAATCCTCCTATCACTTTTACGGTCCATTTTCCATCCTACATAAACAAGACCCTAAGAAACTTAAACCCCTTCACTCTCACTCTGACCTAGAAATGGCACTCTGCCCTTTTCCAGATCAAGACGATGGAGGTGCTGATTTTCTTTCTTGACGCTTTACACTTGGCTGCGAACTGTTCCAGTGAAAGGCGGAGATCTGATGAAGCCAACAGAAACTAGCCTGGTAAAAATCAGCCCCCTTGTCCTAAGCCATTTGCTTCATACACAGGGTCTGGACCATTGGTTACTGAGAAACAATTGCTTACTGGATGCATGGACTGTGTTGAAGTTTTAAATTTCACTAACGTTTGTTTGCCTGTGACATGTGTAATGCACCAATTTGATACTAAGAAGCTTACCAGAAAAAAATGTCTTCTGCTGCAAAGACAGATGTGCCGATCTGAACGAGGCAGCTATTAATATTTGGAAGTGGGCCAACATGAACTGAACAGCTTCCTTCGCTTCCTTCACTGCCACTACTAAAACTACACACAGACTACAATTCTAAAAGAGCGCAGAAAATCAACGTCATCGTTCTCAATTTCTCCTTCCGTTCGCTGATTGGCCCGGTTAAAAAACTACCAGAAACAATCCGAGTCAAGGGGAAAAAGCCCAGACTGTGCTGTAAGTGAGCATTTACACTTACAGCACAGTCTGTAAGTGTACACAGTGTACACAGTTACACAATCTGTACTGTGTAACAGTAAGGGCTATTACTGTTCAAGTAGAGCTGCATGGGAAGGCAACGGCCAGGCTAAACAGAACCACATCATCTGCAAAAAAGCAGAGATGCAATCCAGAGGTCACAAAAATGGATCCTCTCTATAACTTCACCGCAATTCTGTCCATAAAGGTTATGAACAGAATTACTGACAGAGAGTATCCTTGTTGGAAACAAGACTGGTCAAACTAGGACTCATAAGGATGGGTAAGTTCTTGCAAATATTGCTTGGCTTTCTGTATATTGCTCTAGTAACAGATGAAGCAGATTAATAATTTCATTGGTAAAGAAGCTTCATTATTATTTATTATCTTTGTTTAATCTTTTAATAAAATCACAACATGCTTTCTTCTTCTTCTTCTTCCCGATGCTCCTCTGAAGGATTGCTACAGTGGCTCACCTGCTTGCATTTCACCCTAAGTTTTGCGCTTTCAACATCCTCTTTCACTATGGATCTTTAACATTAAGTTTTATTTTTAAAAGCCACAAACCATCCCTTATAAAATCCCAACATATCAAGTATGTAAGTTTGGTAAAACATACTAAACTGTTAATGCAAAGTGGGTAATGTAGGTAAAGTTAGTTTTAAAATTACAAACATGTCAGTATGTGTTACATACAGTGACACCATGTGGACTCAGACATGTCTTGCACATTGAACAACAGTTTGCTCTTCAGGGAAGTTTGCAGCTGACACAAAGCTTTTCTACTGCAGTAACTCGTACTTAACTAACAACAAAGTTTTTGAAATATAAATTTTATTAATTTGATAACGTTTGCACATAAACAGTGGAATTAAGTACAATAATAACTAAAGAGAGAATGGCAACAACGTGACTATGGTAACAGAACACATTTTAGCAAATGTACAGCATGTCTTCATGACAAAAAATGAACATGAAAAACTCATTTTACTAATTAATTTAACAATGAAACTGTGTTTTACATATGTAAAACTCTCTTAATGCCAACTGCTAAATGATGTGGTGTTTCATATTAAATTAATTTATAGTCTGAATGTTAAAATGTGCAATCGAATGCAGAATTGTTTCTAAATTCATCAAAGTAATACATTTAGACTGAATATTCATTTAATTCTGTCTTCTTGCCTCATGCCTGCTATTTTAAAACGGTTAAAAATGTTATCTAAAAAGTGTGTTCTCCAAACAACTGTTTCCTCAAATATAGCCTATTAAAACAGTTAAATGTAATTTTCATAGTAAATACCATTAAAATCTACAAGTCGTGATTATCATTTTAAACCAATAAATTTTTGATTGATTTGTTTACGGTTTATTATTGCCCTCTTGTGGCCATGGTTGGAAACTACAGTTTAACTGCAGTAATATGAACATGAAACTACAAGTATAGTCCTTCATTTGACAATGCAGATGTTCGTGCTTTAAACTTTTGACTTTGTACGTGTGTCACTAATATTGAGATTTAAAAGTACATACCACATTTTTATTTTTATGACATAATATGCTACAACATCAGCGTTCAGGTTGGTGGTAAAAATATTGGCATATATTAAGACAATTAAACTTGAGTTGTATCATGAGAACTAGCGGAAATTAAAAAACAGAGGTCTCAGGACTTACTCATCATGTTTTAGATGCGTCTTAGCAACTTTCTGCTAACTTTGATGGATGTGGTCAGCTGCGCAACGGATTGTGGGATTTCTTTGCTCTCTGACCTGCGATTTAATGGCCGGAGCAAGAAGTCCCCCGGAGACTAATTTGTCTTATGACTGGAACAGTACTTTTGTCCATCGCTTATGGCGTTTCACATTTTTGCGAGTGCAAAAGTAATGTATAACGGAAAAATAAAACTTATTGAATACGGTTGTTTCACATATTATCTTCCCCCGGAAACAACGTTCCGCTCTTTAACAGTTCCACAACACCCGTATTAGAGTTGTTTTGCTAGGTGCTGTCATCTCATTCCGGCGTCATGAGTGCTGAAAACTGTGATGGAACTTTGTCTGTGCCTTTACGAAACGTATCGAACTCTATTCAGTGTATCAGAGATCGAGTCAGAGGTAAATATGAAAAGTTATTTATTGCGTAAGGAATGAAAAAAATACCGCTGCATGCTAATCTTTAGCTAGCGATCTTAGCCGCATGGAGTGTCTCTTAAAATCCGTTTTTCTGTTGGTTGTTTACTTGTCTGCTATTATTGTATTCACGTCAACTCTTTTATTCATCCCAATGTTGTTGTTTTCATATTTCATAGCTTCGATCTTGGCACAACGTATATGACTTTGTACGTTGTGCAAAGTCATATACTTTATATGTTATTATTATGATTAACTGCCTTTGTTTTTTTTTTGTTTTTTAAAGAAAACTACATACATTTTTTGGTTTTGATTATCTTTTTTTATCCTCATTCTGTTTAAATTGCTGTCATAAAGCTGCTCTAGTTTAAAAACTACAACTACTTAGACTCTTCAAACCTATACTAGATTATTATATACTGATAGCAGAATATTAAAAACCCAGTTTGTGATTTGCAAAACCGTTATTTAATTCGTGAAAATTCATTGAGGTCGATTTCAGCACTGTTTTGGGATCTTATTGTATTGTAGATTTTAAACTAGAGGAATTAAAGACGCTCGTTGTAGTGGAAAAAGTTTTATATTATAATCCACCTAAAGCGTGTTCTCTGTATGTTTTCCTTTAGATGGAGAATCAAATGAGAGAGAGGGAGCATTCAATCTCTCCAACTTCTGGGACACTTTGAGTTGAGTTTTCTTAGCTACCATTTTCTGGACCCCATGTAGCTTAAAGTGACCTCCCATCTTTTATCACAGACCCCTTTTGCACATTAAGATTGTAATAGCTGTAATAATGTACATGTACAATGCCAGTTTTTTTCAGAATAGTGCTCATTCATGACATTTTTGTCTTCATACATCATCGCACATTACAATAAAGCATTACTTGACTTTCACATAAAAGTATAATTTAGTATCTGTTGAATATTTTGAAAATGTTTCCTTTTTTTCCCTTTTCCTCAGACCAGGCAGTGAAGACTGTGTCCCAGGAAGCAACTAAACTGAGCCTGGCCTTCTCCAGACCCCCTCTGCCATCTTTACAAGTCAGTTTGCTATTTTCAACACAAATAATCGTATCGGTACAAAAAATTCTGCTCATTCATTCAGGCCTCACAAAGAAAACATCTAAAAGCATCTAATTGTTCTAAGTTGTTTGTTTTAGGAATTCTGTTAATTTTCTCCAGGTTGAATGAACAGCCATATAAAAGTTTTATTGTATCCTAAAAACAAACTTGCTTGTCTTACAGGATGGAGAAAAGCTGTCAGAGTTCATATTGAAAAGCGTCCTGACGCTGTCGACTGTGTATTACTGGCTACCCAAAAGCCAAGGTGACTCTTAAACTGTATAAAGTCTGATTTTTATTAGCAACACAAAGTAGATCTGAGTTACAAAAGAGCAGAGTTAGATAGTAACTATTTACATTTACTCAATTATATTTAACTTTTTTGAAAATATGTACTTTTAGAAGTATTTTTACTGAACATGAACTGAGTAATTTTATTATAAAGTATTTCTTCTTTTATTTGAGTGAAAGTTCTTGATTTTTTACCAACTGAATGACAAACAAGCAAACAAATTTTTGGTTTTAACCAAAAATTCACCAAACACAGACACACCTGCAGTTTTTGTTAAAGTTTTATAAGGTTTTTATTCGTTTTTATTATTATTATTTTTTGTTACTTATATGATTTGTTGCCATTTTGGTCCTTAAAATGCCAAAATTTTCACTTAACTTGATATTTTAGTTTGTCTGAATATGTAGTTATTAAATATTAAATGATTCATAATTTGATCAGTACCTGAGTAGACTTTTTTCCACATACTTTATTATTACTTGAGTCATTTCTTGGACAGCTGCTTTCTACTTGAGTAAAAATATGTTGAAACAGTGCTACTCTTACCTGATTACATTTCTTTGTTCTCTGCCTACCTCTGCTAAAGAGTGATTAATATTTGCGCCTGCTCTTTAAGTCTGGCTGAGTATTTCAGTCCTGTCTGTGCCTCAGGGGTGACGCTACGGCGACAGGTCAGGGATGCTACTGTGGAGGTCCTGGATGGCGTTTTACAGCTGGTGGAGGTCATAATCAGCTCACCACTGCAAAGGTGAACACATCACTGTCACACAGACATCATGGGAGGAATTACAAAGCAGTCAGCCTCCACAATCTCTGGCTGCTGTTTTCTTAAAGCTGTTTGCTTTTTTTCCACTGGATTCACAAATAAATTATACTAAACATATCATCCATCAAGTCCAGCAGATTGGAGGAATGTTCACCTATTTCTGCACTATAGTTGTCCTCTCTTCACCCAGAAGAGCTGACCATTCATGGCCAGAGAAATGTCAAAGGTTGTAGAAATCCCATTATTTTTGCTTCAGTTTTTAAAATTTCCCAACATGTTGCATCATGGCGAAAAATATTATTTTAGTCTTTGTCAAATTTGACCTCTTGACCTCTTGTACTTCTTGACAAATTCAGATTTTTAGAGGTCTCATAATTTCAAAACTAATCTATTGTTTTGGAATTTTAACTACAACTTATTCATAGCTCAGATTTAACTTACCGTTTTTTGAATATATCCTCCACAAGTTAAGTCTATTTGTGTAGCAATCAAAGTCAGTCCTAAACAGCTGGGATTTAGCCTTGATTTAAAGGCACTCAGTATTTCAGCTGTTTTGCAGTTTTCTGTAAGTTTGTTCCAGATTTGTGGTGCGTAGAAGCTGAATGCTCCTTCTCCATGTTTGGTTCTGGTCCTGGTTCTTGGGATGCAGAACCAGGAGATCTGAGAGGTCTTGAAGGTTGATACCACATCAGCATTTAATCATTCATCCTGTTTGCAAGCAGCCCGTCACTAGAAATATTATTTTTGCCAGGAAAACAAAACAGGAAGTTGTTGGATATCTTCCTCATATGCAGCTTCATCATGTCCCTCTATCTGCTCTTCTCTCTGCTGCCATTCAGCCTGACCCAGGAGCAGATCACGTCCACTGGAGGAGTTTGGTCTGCCTGTGATCGCTTTGCTCGGCTACCAAAAGGTCAGCAGAAACAAATAAAGCAAAACTCGGCTGCAAAATGTTGATCAGCTTTTTTACTTGACACAAAACTTTTTTTATATATTACCAGCATTAATGTTTAAATTTGTTTTACTGCAACATTGTTTCTAATTTGCAGATAGTCATATTTTGTTTTAAGGGTACAATATTTGTCATAAACACTGAAAGTATGTATCGAGTTTTCCACATTTACAGTGAAGGCCATTTGTGGCCACTTATGACTGAATCATTTTTGGGCAGTAAAATTTTCTTCTCTATTTCCATATTCATTCCTGTGAATAAACAGTTACAGCAAACCTATGGACACTGATGACATAAACATTCTGCAAAGACGACCAAACAGATTTGGTCTGTTATATTCCAATAAAATAATATGAATAAATGACCATAGGACCATATTTGCACACTGTTGTTATTCAGTGGAACAATTGGAAAACATCTATCAGACAATAAATAGCATATAATTAAAAAAAAAAACCTGCTGGTTGCATAAATATTCATACCTTTAGCCCTTAAATCCCAAATATTAACCATTTTTATTTTAAA